AGTGCCGAAACCGCCATCTGAATTGGCTGCGTTCATTACTTTCACTATGAAAGTTTGCTCAATCAAAATCATATAAAGGCTTACTTAAGATTTAGATTCTTTGAACTTTCAACAATATGGCACTGAGACCAACCCGACAAAAAGAAACTCATACTTCTCTACCAGTACTACTTGAGATGGTAAGGTAAAGAAGGATAAAAATAACCAAACAATTAGTTATCATTTTATTTGTAAGGATACTGATTTAAAGGGAAGAAGGGTCAAGCCCCAAGCTTCCCTTGCCTTTCCTGTTGATCAGAATAAGCAAGAGGTGAGGCTGGATGAGAACTAAGGAATTCCGTTCCAAACCCTGTCGGTGAATCGTGAATCGATCGAGGCCTACCTTTGGCAATTTCCACATCATCCAGAGCAATTTTGATGATCAATTTGAATCGATTATTATCCAGAAAATCGACCGATTGTGTACTAAAAGCAAATTTATTATTATCAATTAGTAGGAATGAGTAAACGATGATCATACATGAGCTTGACGTTTCGTGTCGGATTTTTCCGCCGCACGCTGGTGAGTACAAGCTGATCACTGAGTGTAAACACACATCTTTGCCGCTTTTCGTCGCCACGACATCGCATCTGTACCACATCGTAGCGGACCAGATTTCGACCCGTTGACACTAACTGAAACCAAGATACCAGGGTCGTTTTGTTCCCTATTCTTCTGACAATAAGTGTGACCTTCATCGATCAACTTAAAATCCCGTATTTCTTAAAACTTACATCGTCAAGACCATCAACAATCGCTTCGATTTCTCGTAGACGTTGTTCCATCTGTTCATTCGCCTCCTTGTGTTGATTAATTGCCACCTAAATTTTCCTTATAGTTTCCAGTGGATAGGGGAACACGCGCAAAAAAGTAGGAACAAAAACTGGTCACGCACTGCCAAATTATGAATATGCCGTTGCGTTCTCAGCAGCACTTCATGATCAGCATGTTCCGTAGGGGTATGTTTGATCAGTTGTTTGACTAGTAGTTCATATCTGAAAAATTCATCTACTCTGACGGGTATGAAGGAACCTGAATCGGTAGGAAAAAGCTTTAGATGGTACTCTGCCATCTATGATGTCATAGCCAATAAGATGATTATAAAAATTGTCCGAAAACATGTTGGAATGTTCTAGAGTTTTCAAAATCACATTTTCCAAATCGCACGTTTGAAATAATGTTTTTTGTCGAGTTCCTACTCCACCAAATAGAGAATAGGTTTTTTTCCTCAGACAATCTTAGACAGTTTCTGACAATATTTCAGATACCGATCAATCATCATAAGTGAACAACTGGAATTCGGACCAAAGAAGGGAGCTTCCTATATTTCTGCTTGGTGTAGCAAGAATTCTGCACTTCAAAGAATCGTTCACTCAACCTAGTTATGTTGAATTTGAAACGGACGCTCATAGTACTGTAAATATGGAGGCTGGGCTATCTGGTTTCTTTGTTGGGTGAACTTCAGTACGTAGTCGTAGCAGTAGTAAAGCGTAGTTCAGTAGTCCGGCTATAAGAACTATGCTGAAGTCATCCAGTCCCTTTTGCTGAAGTGAGTCCTGCTGGATTCAGGTCTTTTTGAAATGCTCGGAAGGCACGAGGCAGTTCAACTCATAGGGCTAAAGGTGACTAGTGAGCACGGCATCACTTAGTTTAGCCATTTATTATAGAAGAATTTGTACATCAGATACAACCTGTTCCCGAAGGAGCTGAATACGGCCTTTCTGACCGAAATGCCTGTTCAATCCCAATTATGATAAGCCGATGTTAGTTGATTTTGGTTATTATAGAACGCATGACTTTGTTGAAATGAAAGCAAAATTGTTTTTCATTGCCAACATTAATTCCAATATAAAAATGTACCTGGGTACTCTCTGTATGGGTGAAATAAGTAGCGAATCGAGATCTAGCTTGTTTCGATGATCTCTGCAGCATCTCTGGAAGAACTTACATTACTTTCCACTAGGTAATAATAAACCTAAGCAGGTGAATATAGTTACGCTCGGACGACATACAAACGATTCCTTCCTTTATTATCTAACGATATAAAAATTTCAACCCCCCACTATTTCACGCACCTTTCTATAGCCGTCAAGAATCTTTTTTAGAGTTTGAACTAGAGGCTACTAGCATAGAAAACTGAACCATCAAAAATGTTACAATGAATGAACATTGTATCTTTCTAAAAAGAATAAAGAATTAGGTCGACAGCCTGAAACAATACCGATTTCGGATGCGGCCGCGCATTCCTCCTAATCGTACTAGCGATTTGACGTGTGTGGCATATGCAATGACTTGCGGTAACCAGAAAACAGTGCATTCATCCTCCCAGACGAGTTTGATACCATTTAACCGAACCTAGAGGGAGAAAAGGCCTGGTTGGCTTAGGCGAGAATCGATCCGGTAGCGGACCTATGAGCCAGACGTGAGTGATAGTGCGCCACTTGTCACGACACCACTTCCGCCTCAGTACGTTACGACGCAGCAGTGTGTATGATTGACCGGTTCATCATCAATTACTATTATTACTATTATTATTATTATTATCACCAATATTTATTACTATGTGCCTCCTCACACCTTTATAGCGCTGTGCTGAAAGAAAATCAGCATAAATGCACAACCACAACCACCGCTGTTGAAACGGGAATTCAAGTGGAAATTTTATGGAAAATCTGACCACAGCTAGAGCATTTTTTCGTTTGGCCAATTCAAGATAGGGATAGAAAAATTCAAAAAGAATGGTTCATAACATTCCTAAGAGGACACACAGTCGATGAATAAGCCCAAGGGGAACTTACATTGTAGTATTTCTCGAAGGATGGCTTGCCACGAGCCTGGGAGATGGCAGCTTTAGCAAATTTGAAGTTGTCCACGAACGATATGTAAGTTTCAATCATCGACTGCTTCGAAAACTGAAAAGACCTGATTAGAATGTTGAGAAAAACTGTCTCCGTGCATCAATACCAGGGTATGTCATCGGCGAGGTTTTTTGCTTCTAACAAAGCAGCGTGATGAAAAGGGAAACCCAGTCGAGATTTCGTGGATAAAGAAGACTAACACGACATTATTAATAAAAACTAATTATGAAGAATTTTAGAAACGAGAAAACCCTATCTGGAAGAAGAGGTTTAAGAAGTTTGCAAGAACAAGGAAAATCAGAACCAACATGAGCCAGGAGAACGTCGCCGATGACGGTATCCTTGTCCCATTCTTCAATTCTCGAACTTAGGGCAGCAAGGAGGACCTAAAAGATTCTTATTTGAGTTCATAATGAAATAGTTCATTATTTGAAAAACAAATCATTGAAATCATGGGCTAAGGAAGTCGATCCCATTTTGGGATGCGCCCCGCATTCGACTTCCGATCGGAATCGTATTGGCGTTTTGAATGCGTACGTGGCCTACACAATGACTTGCAGGGCCCACTTGATGTGCAAGCCAGTGCTTCCATCATCCCAAGCGAGTCTGGTCCAATTGGTCCACCAATTCACCGACCCAAAAGGGATGGAAGGCTTGGTTGGCCTGATGAGTTGTCGGTCACGGATCCGATCCCGAGACCATGCGTGTGCGATAACGCGCCACTTGCTACCACAATACCTCCAACCAGTAATAAAGTAATAATAAGTTAATTAGATTTAATCAATTCAAACAAGAACATATTCAATATCAAATTGATTAAAAGGAATATGTCGGTAATTTGAAATACTTGAAATAATTTGGAACTAAAAGAGTTTTCAGAAAATAGACATCCAAAGGACCCACCTGATGATGTGCTAGCACTTCTGGAACTTTGTAGAAAATTTTGTCAGCCAGTCCGGATTCGATTAGTGTACACTCCAGGGGTTGCCGTAACGGGCGCATGTATTTCTGAATGTTTCTCTGTCAGAATATGCTCTCAACTATTCCCTCTACCGACCAACACCGCTACCTTCTATGTGGCTACCTTCACCAATTTGTGCTTTTTACTTAATTACGTCGAATTTGTTCGATTTTTCGATACAAGGCAGTGTTCTCGAGAGATTTATGAAAAGATAGGACAATGAGGCAAGATGACAGTGCCGGTCTGTCGATTGCGCCGAGCCTTACCGAAACTAAAAACTCCAGCCCTTCAACGAACGATTTTTCTGTGTCGTACAATTCTCGAGCAGCCAAATTTCGAACACTGAAAGAGATCAAAAACAATAGGATCAATAACGCCAGTATGTCAAGTCTCCATTGATTTTACTTATTGATTAGTAAACAAAATCGGGCACATTTCGATCGTTAGTGATGAAATACCAATTAGATCTTTGAAACTTTGAAATATACCTTGAACTATTATTTCAACTGACTATACCTTTAAATGACGAATCTGAAGTTCCCTTGATACCGTAATACCATTAATTCTAATTTAAAAAAGATAAAATCGAATTTCCTCTGTTTCAACAGTCTCACAAAGTTGGCGATTTGTGGGCAAAACTCCAGTCTCTGAAGGGACTCGAACTCGTACTCTGTTTTAACATATACTCAAATAGAACATTTACTACATGTGATACGGTAGTATACATACTTCTCTTTATAACAAACAATATTTTGTATAATCCGATGAGGGATGACTTTGATTTTGAAAGTTTTCAAATCATATTTATATAGTACAGGTGGAGAAAAAATTTAATTGAAAAATTTAAAGAGTTGAAAAATTTTATTTCTTCTTTTGATTAGATGTTCTTGTAAACTGTTGTTATTTTTCACGGTGCGCGATGCAAAAGTCTTACAAGGATGGCTATTTGTGTGCAAAATTACGGCCTCAGACGGCAATTGAACCCGTAACTGTGCTTTCGTGGCACCGTGCTCTTTATCCCACATACTACCTGAGCCCGCTTGCCCTCGCTTTCATAATAGAATAGTGTCTATTTTCGCTATGATGAGCATATGCGCTACATGAAACATACTGACAGAGTAATACCAAAATCAGGATGAAAGGAAAATTCTTATACCTGAAGTGTTTCCTGAGACTGGCTCGAGAACGCTTTCTCCACAGCAGAATGTCCGCCTGTAACAACGAATCTTCCATACGGCATTCTTCGCCAGCTGATTCGGAAAAGCCAAATGGACGCCTGAAATGGGAATGCTCTCGAAAAGATTCAGAGTTTCAGAAAGTGAAGGGCCACTTATTTCCCAATCCTTCAAAGTTGCTGGAATGATCATAATGTACACTTGAAGGCGGCCATCCTGTGACTCCATTGAGTTTGACCCCAGCTTTTGGTTTTGAAAAACAAACTTGGTTCAAACTCCCAACTCCCACTCACCAAGAGATAGTTGGATGTCTTTCTGGTGAACTCTGCCCGGAACGGAAGCTACGTAGAAGTTTCGAGAAGCGACTGACACCTGCGAGGCTCTCAGAACTTTTTCCATCCAATGACGAGCTGAATAAGTCATCCACAACACCTCGTCGTCTGCTGAAAATGAATTTTGAAGAAGCGGCTCATGACAAGGACGCACACTTGAGGAGCTGATAGGCTTCCGACTTTCCTCAGACACCTACCTCCCCATTGTTTTTGTTAGTTACTGCATGATTTTGGAAAGATCTGAGGTCAGTACAGGATTAGACAAGCGATTGGAAGACCGCAATAAGACCACAGGATTAGACAAGCGATTGGAAGACCGCAATAAGACCACTGAAGTTGGCTCGTCGAGAGGAAAGGAGGGTTTCGTAGGCTAGGGCGAAAGAGTGGGTGATGTTCCAATACAGTATCCATCGCTCCTAGTTGGATTCTATGTGTAATGTAAGTGGGAACCTGTTGTGTCATGAGAAACCTGTTCAGAAAGGGGCATGTTAGTGGGAACCTACACTGCTTTGTCAATTATTATAGATAAGACACCGTTCAGAGGTTGCAATTCAGACGATTCATTGCAATGGAATAGATACTTATTGATTAGATTATCAGTAGGAGTAGCTACCCAAAGGAAAAGAAATTTCCAGGCAGTGAGAAAATGGCGGAGGAAGATCTATCCCCCAAGAAGATGTCAATACCGCACTTGCTCTGACACAATCGCAACCTCTGACTGTGGTCTAAGCGATAACTCAAGTAAAACTTAAGTTACTCCTACTATGAAATTCACCTCCGTCTCGGTCCGCTGGAACTGGAACAGTCCGTATTGCATAGCGGAAGCGACGCTTCTCGAGAGCTGAAGTAGCTATCAGTAAGCCATCGACTATCAGCTACAAAGAGCAGAAATCCGTGGATATGGCCTAGCGGAGTCGCCAATTCTCTGAGGAGGTCCCTTAGCGTCCCGTTTGTCTAGAGACTCAGTTCATTTTCGAGAATTCAGCTTCTTCTAAGCTTTTCAGGTCCACAAATTATCTTTTATCGATCTCTTGCCTGCCAATACATGGAGGTGGTGTAGGGGCAAAAGGCGCGCCGTCACGTACACACGTTCGTGGGTTTGAATTCCGGATGGATATTCGCCGAGACTAGCCAAATCTTCCATCCTATTGAATACCTTGTCTGATACCAAACTTGTCTGGGAAGATAAATACACTAAGCTACCCCTGAGGACCTAAAACTGCAGATGGGATTCGAACTTCAGCTCAACAGGGCGTCCACCTATAACAGCACCACCTTCGCGAAAATCTTGTTTCACACTATCAATTTCACTAGGAAGGGACTCTTTCCCTTCTCCCCGTAGAGGTCTTATTGACATATTTCTGTGCTCGATCTTATCTATCACGGACGTCATGCCGGAATATTTAATTCACTGTGAAAGAAAAGTCTTGAGTGTTATCGAGACAGGCATGAAAGTCCCAATAGGATGGTTTAGTGGAAAAAAATCAGTAGTTTTAGAAAGTAACAGATTACATTTCAGGGGAAAAGAGTAACAGATAAGACAGGAAACAACCAGATCCCTGTGGGCTTTCCAACCAGTCTTGCGAAGGCTGAACAACATTGCTACCGAAAAAGGAGTACCTCAGAAGTATTACCTGCTGGCTCGCGGACTTTTTGGATTGATCTGCGGTTCGGGAGTGGTGAGCGTGTCGCTCAGCGAGATGAACGCGTCAGGTGCAGACGTCTTCCTCGACAACGATGTGCGTCCACCACGATATGTATGTGGGGCTGACACAAAAACATCGTTCCTAAAGCAATATCAGAGTAATATGGTAGTTTACGATTAGTATCAAGTAATACGGTAATTTATAGTAAGATAGTGGACACTTCTCAAAACTTAGCACGAATTTTTGACAATTCTTAGTTAGTAAATGTTTACTCAAGGTCACAGACTGTAAGTATCTTCCCGAAGAAGCGGGTTATATGCGGGTGAAGCATCAAAAAGGCGTCATAATTGGAGATAAGTGGAAGGCAAGAGAATTGCAGGCATGGAAAAGCAGATGTCTGCCAATCCAACTGCTCTTTTCGTCGGTATTAAGATGTCCGAATGACTTCAAGAAGTAGAGAGCAAACAGCTCATTAATCTCATTAATCATTGAAAACCTCGTCCTTTTCTCAACCTGTACGATTAAAAGATTACATTGTAAGTATCAGAGAAATGGCAGATAGTGAAAACTAACTTTGGGACGCTTTTTTGAAAAAAAGACCGCTTCGACCTGAATTTTTCATCGATAATATCAATACAAGGCGAAGGTGGTGAAGTGGCAAGCGGCGCACTATGTCCACGCACGGTCAGGGGTTCGAATCCTGGATCGCTATCCGCCTAGGCCAACCAAGTATTCCATCCCTCCGGGGTCGGTGAATTGGTATCAGAACCGTCTGGGTGGATAAAAGCACTAACTTGTATATCGGCTGGCCACAGCAATTCATTGTATAGGCCGCACACGCACTCATTACGCCACTACGATTCTGAATGGAAGTCGAATGCGGGGCGCATCCCTCAGACGGGATTGATTAACCCCGAAAACTTTATCCTTTTATCCTAGTAACTCGAAAATTCCGAAAGTTGAAAGGAATCAGAGAACGTTTCTCACCCCATCGATGGCAAGAATTGCATTACTCCTCTAGGATGTCCTAGTCGTGTAGAAATTCCTGATACCCGTCCATCGACACTCGAATCAGCAGCAATTGATGATTCGTCTGCATCGGAGAATACTAGAAAAACACAGCTTAGACTATAAACGAGTAACATAGGGAAAACATGGAGTACTGTACGATACCGTAGCACACTTTAAATTGTTCTGATGCAGATTATATCGAACAATGCAGTATGAAATCCTCTTATTGAATCAAGCCTTCCCACCGGCTAAAGACTTACAAACTGCTTCAATTATTTTTGTAAACTTTAATGTGGGATATATTATATTTCAGCCGGGGCGGAGGTGGTGTAGTGGCAAGTGGGGCGCTACATCACATGCACGGTCAGGGGTTTGAATCTCGGATCGATGCCCGCCTAGGCACCAAGCCTTCCATCCCTCCGGGGTCGATGAATTGGTACCAGACTCGTCTGGGAGGTTAAAAGCACTGACTTGTACATCGGCTGGCCACCGCAAGCCATTGTAGAGGTACATACGCACTCATTACGCCACTACGATTCCGAATGGAAGTCGAGTGCGGTAGTTCTATCAATTCCAGTCAAGAAAGGGTACCCTAACTTTTTTGCGAACGGTGCCTTTAACTTTATATTTCTAGTTCTGTTTATTGTTTGTTGTGTTGATGTTCGTTCGTGATCTTAACTCGCTGAAAATGTAGTTTACCGATTCGCTCCTACTCTATATACCATACCCCTTTAATGAGGGTGGATATGGTGTAGTGATAATAGGTGCACTACTGAACGCAACCTCAGTTCGAGGATAGAACCTAATATGGATACCCACCACCCCACCAAGGCTTCCATTCCTCTGGGTCCAATCAAATGGTACCGGACTCATATGAGAGTTTAAAAGCACTGACTTGTACACCGGCTGGCCACTGAATCTCATTGTAAAAGCCAAGTACGCAGTAAAACGCTGCTACAATTTTGTGTGGAAGTTGAATGTGGGGGCGCGACCCTCAGACGGGATTGATCAACACCAATGACTTTATCCTCTATCCTTCTGACGCGACGTGTTCTACTCACATCGACAGAGAACAAAAAATTAAAAATGAGCTTTGAAAAAAGCCTGCTGTCAGGCGATAGTTCAGGAACTTATTCGACGCGAATCAGTCCTTTTAAGTGATAATGATTGATGGATATTACCTCCTCTATCAGACGAATGTTGTGGCATTTTAAGGACCCGCTGTAGAGATTGAATCGATTTCGCTGCATCACGAAGTTCCTCGATTTCCGTTGACATATCCTCACCACCGGAATCAGAATCGTCCTAGAAAAATTTTCCCCGTTTCATTAAAGGTACATAAACCATTATAGAATTGAACAGAGATCAACGCTCACAGTAAAAAGAAGTACCTCAATGGCCAGTTCTAACATTTCTATTAACTGGTATTCTGTGATACTGTGGGAACAAGTGGGCAACCCTGAGAAACGGTTTGGGCAAAAGGCTATTCAATCCACAGACAGAGATGACCAGTGGACCTTGCCGCCAAGCTTTACTAGAACTAAGTTTTATATAATTGAACTAGATGTCTACCTGTATGTCCGTCTGTCTGTCTGTCTGTCTGTCTGTCTGTCTGTCTGTCTGTCT